TCTTTGTCGAGGCAGTTGCCTCCCATTTAACGTTTACGTTTTTCATACCAGTTAAAGCAGAATGATTTATCTCCCCTGTTGTTAAACTCAGGCAGTCGTAGAAGAACCATGATCGCCTGCTAAGCTCTTCTACATGTTTCTAGAACCACAGCGTCTTGACAGATGAAGGTCCTTGTCCTGATTGTCTATTTTTGAAAATAAATGAAAATTTTGCTACAGAATTCTTTGAATTTTCCATTTACATTGCTTAATTCTGAAGCGTCATCCATCGGTTGTGGTATTTTGTGGATGGGTGAGCATTTGTTGTCTGAGGTCACGATTGTGTCTACAGATAAGCGAAAGCTGATTACCGTAGTTGTATATGAAGCAGAAGATACATAGGCAATTTTTACGCCTGCTAATGTCTCTTCATCAGCACTCAGTTCTGCAGTAACCGGAGACTTCTGCGGCTAATCCGCTTGCCTCCTGCTCTGATGGGTCGTTCAACCAATTTGGCCGTTCGTTTCAACAGTGCAAACTTTATGGAGATCTCTGAGGATTATCTCTGGAGCTACAAAGCTCAGGCTTTGTTCCATCTCCTGGGCAAACAGCTAGCGCAGACCAAAACCATATGGGATACAACCCGGTAGAGTGGAGCGGATCCTCTCGACTGCAAACTTTAAGGGGAAATGAGAATCTGTACTTCTGCTTTTGTTATCAATAGCGATATGTCGGGATGTGGTACTGGTTCAGCCCTTTAAAGCAGCTGGATTTTGTTTCTATCAGTACAGTTCTGGTGTCTAACCCTTTCCTGAATATGAGCGCCATGTAATTTCTATAATTTTTTGGAAACTGTATGGACAGGAAAAACCGGTTTAAAAATACAGAGCACTGGCCAATGGTGAAAGAGAATGTATGAAGGCTGAGATCGTTTCCGTGGACATATCATCCAGCTGCTACTGGCATCATCGGAACTGACATTCTTCGTTGGCTGCTGAATATGAACAGGGAGCCCAAATGAGAATGTCCCTAATACGATGTCGTCAGTTCTTAGCTGAGCATTTAACACTGAATATCGTTTTCTTAAACATATTAGGAATAACAGAAAGTCATCTTAAGCGGTTCTACCACACCAACAACAATTGTGTGGTTTCCACAGTGAAGTTTGGTTGCAATACAACAGCTGTTAACTATGGGGATATTATGCTGTAAGGTTACAATCTTTTTCACGGCGTGACTCTCATACCACTGTTGGAAGCTACAATATCGTTTAAAAAAACCCCCCTACCCCCTTTTTTCGCCGGCTGACAACAGGAATCGAACTTTGGCAAACTTCGAGGCCTGCATTGTGAAACCACGTCACCAACTTATATAAGCCAGGCTGCTGTTATCTTCTAGGACAATCAAGTCAGTGACTAGACTTTCCACTCAATATTTTTCGCAAACTCACAACAACAATAAATCAATGCACAATAAATAAATGCACAATAAATCAATGCACAATAAGTCAATGCACAATAAATCAATGCACAATAAATAAATGCACAATAAATAAATGCACAATAAATCAATGCACAATAAATCAATGCACAATAAATAAATGCACAATAAATCAATGCACAATAAATAAATCAAACTATGAATGGAGCACATAAATGACATATTTATCTCTGAGATGTTGAAGTAACTTATCTGTGATAATTATCTCCAGGTTTGCCTAAAACCTTACATGAGTTATTTCCCTATCTGTAACTTTCTTTCGTTGCTCCCTGACGCGCATTTTCCCTGACAGATTGCTAGCTTGCAAGAGATGACAGGGAAACGAGATCTTTATCAAGCGCCAACCGCAATCTTATCTACAAATTATTTCCAGGATATACGCCGTAAAAATGAAATTAATTCATTAACTTTTAGAGAAAGCACTTATTTAAATCTGGAGAAAGGAAATATTTATGTCATTAAATTGTCCGTAAGTGTTATGTTAGTCTGTTAATTCTTTTTTTTCTTCAAATAGTTACATAGCCAGTTCTCCCCTTGCGGAATGCAATTTTTCGTTATTTTGAAGCTCCACCCTGGCTCTTTCCAGGGGCGGCAATATAACTCAGCCATGAATATGGTCTAATGGCTGAATGCGGTTTCCAGGACCTCTCCACGGGTGATCCTCATCCACATGGCTGGCACTTTGTGTCATCGGGTGTTTATCGCTTGTGTGATGTGCTGGTGGGGTAAAATGTGCTAATGCTAATTTTTCAAATCCCACTCGAGAGACTTTCCCTCTTTCTTTTTTTTTTTCTTTCTTTCTCTTCGTTAGATGGATGGTTTTCGTGTTGTGTTGTAGCTTAGCACTTGACTGCGATATTTGCTACTTTCTGAAATCGTAATGTTGGTGATGTGTTGGCATTTTGTAGCTGGCAGATGAGGCAGACATTTTAATATCAACCCTGTAGTGTCAACAGGTAGAAAGGCATGAATACATTTTGAAAGAGTGGTGTTCCAGCAGGTGCTTAAGAAAGCTAATAAAGATTCGAGGGAATGGACTCAGTGGGCAGAGAACTGTGCTCCTGTGTGGAAGACCCGGTTTCAACCATGGGTAAGGGGTGGAGATTTTCTCTGTCAGAGTAACAAGGAGGCTGCGTGGTCTCGAGGCATGGTGTCCCTCTCGAATGCTAGAGTTTCGGGTTAAATCCCCAGTAACGGCTAGGATTTTTTCAGGTGGACTTGGAATTCTAGTAATTCCCCCTAGTCACAGGGTAGTGAGATCGGACGCCTGTGTGTATTGCTGCGCACGTACAAAAAATCCCTTGGCAGTTGGAAATCGAAAAAAGTAGCTTAGGAAGTAGCCCAGAAAAAAATACAGTTAAATATCTATCCAAAGTATTTCAGGATCCTCGCCGGCGCTACAGAGTCTGTGTACTGTGCTGAGCTTTTTCAGACTCAGACTTGAGTTTAAAAAAAAAAACGGAGCACTTATGAGTTACTATCCGTGTGCCATGATGTTGATCCGGTGTTCAAACCTCAAACCTCGGTCGGGGTAACAATGAAAAACTCTCATCCGCTGTGTTTCGTGAAAACTGCAATAGACATGCAGCTTCAGATTCTAAAGCTCACCCATCACCGTGTCATTACACCTGGTCATTATGGGCAGTGACGATGGTTCTTCACAGGATAATGAGACAGCGTAAGGACACATGAAATCAGTGCCTTAGAATAGATTTGCTTTAGTAATGATGGGCTTGTTAGTGGGGTGGGGGCAAACGAAAGGGGGAGGGAAACAGAAGGAAGGTGATTTGTTAAAAAAAATCTTGACTTGGGGTCGGCAACCTGTTACATTTTTAGTATTCCTTCTCTTCTTCTTCTTGAGCATTCCGAGCCCTTGAGGTTCATTACTGCATATATCACCCGCCTGCATTCGTCTCTCTGGTTGGCCTTCTCTTTCCAGTTGGTGGAACCGAATGTTTGCAGGTAAACCTGGACATTATCTCTCCGTCGTCTTCTTGGTCCTCGTTGTCTATGGTCTGCCTCGTTGTCTATGGTCTGCCTCGTTGTCTATGGTCTGCCTCGTTGTCTATGGTCTGCCTCGTTGTCTATGGCCTGCCTCGTTGTCTATGGTCTGCCTCGTTGTCTATGGCCTGCCTCGTTGTCTATGGTCTGCCTCGTTGTCTATGGTCTGCCTCGTTGTCTATGGCCTGCCTCGTTGTCTATGGCCTGCCTCGTTGTCTATGGTCTGCCTCCTTGTCTATGATCTGCCTCGTTGTCTATGGTCTGCCTCGTTGTCTATGGTCTGCCTCGTGGTCTACGACCATTCATCTTCCTTGTGTATACAGATTTTTACTTCTCTGTCACCTGACATTCTTTCAAATGCCCCAGCCATTTCAGTCTATTAGCTCTCATGATGCCAGTGCTCAAAGGTGATTAAAACAGATTTTGAATCTCTTTGTTGCTTCTCACTCTCCATTCCTCGCTGTTTGCTTCTTTGATGGGTCCAAAGATTCGTCGTTTTCGAAAACATGCAATAAGGCTTCATCTCTTTTAGTTGTGCTCTAAGTTTCATAGCCATATTTAATAGTATTGTACTAATATAATATCCCAACGTTACTCCATGTGTGAAACTTAACCATCATATTTTAAATACATTTACTACAAACCATTTGACTTTTAAAATAACACCCGTAATATTCCCAAAGACATAAGTGGGTACAATATTGCCAATCTTCATTGACAAGACGGAATGTGTAAACATACTATTATGCAAGAATTGCAGTGAGTTCAGATAGTAACTTGGTAAGCCTCGATAGCCCTATCACTGTGTGTCATGTGCCATGGAGTTACTGCTGACTTTTTGACCACATATTTCCATTTGTGGCGATCAAATGCTCTGGACTTGATGCTTGGTATTTAAGGTCTGGCCAACACTGAACACTGAGATAATAGACAAGACCGTATATTATCAAACTGCGACTGGTGCCATTGTCACTGGAACATGAAGCTGGCTTTTGAAGAAAAGGACAGAGCGCGTAGGAGAATCCCGACTACTTTGATGCCGATTCTTGGCTCAACTTAGCTGAACACTTTCAAATTTGAGGCAGATTCTGTCAATGTAATTTTGGCTCCAGGCCTTTCTTTAGGCTGGCTAATGACATCTCCGTTTGTACTGATCCCAGTAGAATGCGGTTACGATACAGGAAGATCTGAATTTTATTGAGGACACAGTGTAAACAAAATACTTCAGCCTTGTTTAAATATTATAAATATTTCAATGTTTACTTTCTCTAGTGTGACCTTCTATCTTTCTACCTTTTCCATTAGCATTGTCAACAATATATGTCTTTTTGGTTATAATATTTAATTATGGCAGACATTATGGCTACACGGAGTACTTCCGGGGGGGGGGGGGGGGGGAGGGGGGATACCCAGTAGTCCCGTACGGGTCAGGAATCAACTTGCTATTGTTGTTGGAGAGAAGAAAGAGAGTTTGTATGTATTGTTCGCAGTTTGCTTAGATTCCATGTTTTTCATTTCAG